CCCCCACCACACACACACCAGGCAGTGCAGAGATCCCCTGGGCCCACATGGAGGTGTGCACAGGGCCTGCAGGGGGCAGTGTTTGCACGTGGAATCGCTCAGCTGGCAGGGGCCAGCCCAGGTCCCCTCAGCACAGTTCGTGCCTGGCTGGGGAGCCCAACCCCAGCGCTCCCCCCGCTGTTTGACCTACAATCCCATCTAGGGTGACTAGATGTCCCGATTCTATAGGGACTGTCCTGATTGTTGGGTCTTTTTCTTATATAGGCTCCTATTACCCCCCACCCCCTGTCCCGACTTTTCACCCTTGCTGTCTGGTCATCCTAACCCCATCAGCTCCCTGGCAAAGAGCAATTACATGGCTGGTGTGAGTGGGCTGCGGGTCGGGAGTGAGGGACATTGGCAGAGCTGGCGGGGGGGCAAGGACTGTTTTAAGGCATGTGATATGCCCTTGATGTGACCTGCACGGGCAGGGTTTACGGCACCAGCCCCCCTCAGCAGGCGAGGAATCGCAGCCCACCCAGCTGGGCCAGGCCCAAAGGGCTGCGCTTGGCTCTAGGTTGGCATGTGCCCATTAACGAGCCAGCTGGTGCTGAACGTGCCGGCAAGCTGGGCAGACACCTGGTGTGAGTGCTGGCCTGTCTAGCTCCTGAGCGTGGCTTAGGCCCTGCCGTGCCACAGGGGCTCCCCGCACCGCGTGAGCTGCTGTGAGTGGCACAGGAGGAGATGCCAGCCGGATGCTGCGGGTCCAAAGAACGGTCAGCGCCCAGCTAATCAATGCAGCGCCTCATTATCTTTGAAAACTGATGGCGATCAGGGGAGGTCCCGGATGACTGGAAAAAGGCTAATATAGTGCCTGTCTGAGGTAGCAGGGGCTGTGGGTCGGGCGTGAGGGGCACCGGCGGAGCTGGGCGGGGTGGGAGGATGAATCCAGGGCTGGTAGCAGGGGGCTGCAGGTGGGGAGTGAGAGGCACCGGCAGAGTTTGGAGGGGGAGGATGAATCCAGGGCTGGGGTAGTAGGAGGCTGCGGGTCAGGAGTGAGGGGCATTGGCAGCGCTGGTGGTGGGGGGAACCTCATGTGTGCACAGGTCCCAAGGCGCCAGAACCCCCAGTGAACAGCCCTGGGCCGGCTGAGGCTGTGCCAGCCGTCACTGGGGGGAGAGCCAACCCCCATGCCCCAGCCAGCCGTGAACTAAATGGACAGCTCACCCTGCCCCCACCCCACGGGCCGCAGGCCTCTGCCCTGGGAGCCCCAGGTGAGGGCCTGTTTGCTGGTGGAGACACTGCGGCCACGAGACGGCGACGGTCACCCGTGTGCTGCCCATGTGGGTGAATCCGCAAGCGCGAGGCTGGGGGGTCTCTACCCAGTGTGTGTGTGTGTGTGGGGGAACAGGACCCTGCATTGTGGCCTTCCAAGGAGCTGCCTGGCCACCAGTGTCCCCCCCAACCTCCCTGTCACTGCTCCCACTGTCCTCTATAAGCCCCCACCTCACAGTAGGCCCCCCCAGCTTTGTGCACGCTCCCCTGCCTTCACGCAGCCATGGACACACTGCCCCACACATGCATGGGGCGCACACACTGCCCTGTCACCAATGTGCCCACACACGTGTGCATTCGCTAACACTGCCCCAGCCTTCAGAGATCCCCCCACTCCGGGCACGCGCGTGTGAACATACGCTCCCTCCCTCCCGGGCCAGACGAAGCACGAGGCCAGGACACCAGCCCATCCGGGATAGACAATATATATTTTACTCTTTAAAAATAAACCTTCCAGCCCCCGGCTAAGGGCCTGTACAAACTACAAAAATAAACCTTTCTTCTTTGTAATATAAATAATTTATATGGCATGGCCGGGCTGGGGCCCTGCTTGTCTCGGGGGCGCCGGGGGCAGGCTGCCGCTTGGCGGCTCGGGGCAGTGGGCACCCCGGCCCCACGCGGTACTGACCAGCCCACCCGCTGGCCCAGGAGGGACCAATCGCTGAGAACGGGGTCCCCCATCACCGCCCTGGGCAAGGAACCCAAAAGAAAGCCCCAGGCGGGGGCTGATGGGGACCCTGGGCTGGGGGGGGGCGGGTTAAAGTGCCAGGGAACGGAGAGGCAAGCGCCAGTGACTCCACAGCAGACCCCCCAGGAGCCCAACTGATCCCTGCCTGCCTCCGGCGAGCGGCCCCGGCTGCAGGATCGGGTCCCGGCCGGCTGGGGGGGAAGCCCAGCCTAGGGGGCAGGGCAGGGTCCTGTTTCTCAAAGGCTCCCTGATCTGGCTGCAGCAGCACAGGTGGGTGTGGGTGTGGGGTCATGCAGGGGAGTTGTGTGACCACACGAGGGCAGGGGGGCTATTTGGAATACACCCCTCCCCCGCCAATCAATGTCTGTCAGGCAGCATCCAGACCAAGGCACCCCATAAAGGGCGTAAGAGAGACATAAAGGGTACCTAGGCCTTGGACGGGCCTGTATGGGGAGGCACATCCCCCTCCAATTTGCCCCAGATCCCCTCCTTTCCCTGACCCCCTTCCTGGCAGGACACACCCTCCCCCCCCCGCCCATCAAACGCACTGGAGGAGCCTCACAGTTCGGTCTCACAGCCGTTTACAAAGGAGGATGGGTAGCATTGTCCCCATGGGGAAACTGAGGCAGGGAGGGCTTTTTTCCCAAGGAGCAGGGAGGAGAAGCCAGGGGTCCTGAGGCCCGGGCCAGCGCTCTAGCCGCTAGGCCTCGCTGGATCTGGGCCCTGCTGGTATCAGGCTTTAGGTGTTAAAGTGAGAAAACGTCCTTCCCCTCAAGCGTGAGTTTCCCTTCTCAGTGACTAGGGTCGGGACCGTGCCAGTCTCCCAGGGTGGGGGCACATGGCCCCCCCTTCCAGCCCCTCGCGTGAGTCCAGGGCGCCCCCTGGGCCAGAGCTCAGCCCCCCGACCCTCCCATCTTCACTGGGGCTGGCATCTCATCCCCCTGCGGGGGGGTTGCTGGGCCCCTCCCCAGACACAGCTGGTCTCCCGGGAGCCCCACGACTTGGTGCTGGGGGCGGGGTGGCAGGGTTTGGCCCTGGCTCCTGCCCAAGGGATCCGCTGAGCCCCCCGCCCGCCATACGCCAGTGGAGGGTGCAGAGCTCCAGGATACCCGCTTGGGCAGAGACCTGACCTGGGCACACGGAGTAGGGGACAGCTGGGGTCCATGGGGAGAGGGACTGGCTGAGGGGCACACCGGGGGGGGGTGTTTCTAGCTCCTTTGCCAAGGCTCCCCAGGCCGTTCCTCCAGCCCGCAGCTGCCCCCGAAGTGCCAAGGGGCCGTCGTTCGTGCTGCAGTTCCTAGGGCGCAGAAAAGACACCTGCTCTGGGAGGGGGAGGGAAAACTGGGGGGGGGAGGGGGAATACAAACCGAGACCCCAGGCCAGGCTGGGGGGCAGAGGGTGTCTCGGCAGCCCCTGGGGGTTTCCCCCGGCCAGCCTGTTCACACACACCTTGCATAGAAACCTTGACGCAGTGCTTCACCAAAAGGCCCAGCTGTTCGCCCCCGGGGGCAGCAGCCCCCGCCAGCCCAGCCCAGCCGTCTTCTGCTGCGGGGTCAGGGGGCGCTGCCAGGCGGGGTCAGGGCAGATCTCTGTCCCAGCACAGAGCAATAAAAATAAAATAATTAATCATTGGGGAATAGCAGCACAATGCAGGGGTGGCAGCAGTTCCTGCCCCCGCCCGTGGGCACTGCCCCTGCTGGCAGCACCTGGCGCAGGTCACCAGTCCAACAGCTCGCTGCAGCTCAGTGTTCAGCTGGCGTCCACGCAAGGGTGCCAGTGCTCGCAGCGTTTCTTCTCCGCTCTGCCCGCTCCCTGGGCACGGGAGCTGGTTCCGGGGACACGGCAGGCGTCGGCTAGGAACCACGGCGCTTCCCGGGGCAACCTGTGCGGAGACACAAGGCAGCCAGGTTAGCCGAATCCCCCGTGCCCACCGGCTGGGCTACCAGCTCTGCTGGCTTCTCCAAGGCATCTGTCCACAGGGGCCTCCCACACGCCATGAGCACCCGTGGAGTCAGCACGCTCCATGGCACACGTGCGCGGGCAGGCATGCACCCTGCACGTGTCCCTGTCTGCGGGCACGAGCGTGCAAGCCCACTAGGTATGTGTGAACGTGCACTGTGTGTGTGTATGCACCCTGCATATATATGTGTGCACCATCCGTGTGTGTGGGCATGCGTGCACCCTGTGTGTCCTCCTGTCTACGGGCACGAGCGTGCAAGCCCACTCGCTCCACCTCTACCCCGATAGAACACGAATTCGGCTAGAACGCGGGAAAGTAGTGCTCCGGGGGGGCGGGGCTGCGCAGTCCGGTGGATCCAAGCAAGTTCGGTTTCACCTATAACGCGGTAAGATTTTGGCTCCGAGGCCTGCGTCGAGGTGTATGTGCGGACGTGCACTGTCTGTGTGTGTGTATGTGTATGCACCGTTTGTGTGTGGTGGCGTGCGTTCACCCTGCATGTGTCCCTGTCTGCGGGCACGAGTGTGCGAGCCCCGTGGGAACATGTGGATGTGCAGCATCTGTGCGTGTGCAAGTGTGCACCATCTGTGTGGGCAGGTGTGCACCCTGTGTGTGTCACTGTTTGCGGGCACGAGGGATGCATACAAAGCCGCTGCTTTGTCATCGAACTGCCCCATGGCGCCAGGGCCCGCCAAGCACAGGGAGTGTACCCCCAGGGGCAGTGCTGGCCCCAAGGTAACCCCCAGAGGTGCTGGCACTGCCTGGCAGGGGTGGGGCGAAGGAGCCCCTGGCACAGGGCTCAGTCCCCAGGCTCACCTAGGGCCTTGCAGAGCCATCTGCCCGTCCCGGGTGGTGGAGCGCAAGGGTCTTGGGCGCGGCCGAGCCGGGGGCACTGCAGGCGGGCGGGCCGGGCTCCTCCGGGCAGTCGGACTCGCTGTCCTCGTAGCTGTCATGTGTGTAACCCTGCAAGGAGCCCGGCAGGGGCGGGTGCAGGGCCAGCGTCACGGAGGCCGTGGCCGTCACCGTGGTGTAGCTGCCGCTGTAGGCGGGGAGGGCAGTCCGCAGGGGCCGGGGGGCTCGGTGGGGGGCAGTCCTGGCGCCGGGGGGGCCAGGCCGGGGCAGTCTGTGCTGAGGCAAGTCCCTGAGATCCGGGCCGGCCGATGGGAGGGAGTCGCCGGCAGCCAGGGACTGGGTCTGGTTGGTGCTCGGTGGCTCCTTCTTCCCTGGCGGCTCCTGGTTCTCCTGGTAGGTTTTCACCACCTGTGCAGGGCAGAGACTCCCGTGAGTACAGCAGGCAAAGAGGGAGGCAGGGGGCTGCTAACGGGGGGCAGCCGGAGGCCGCACCCGGGGGGGGCTGGGGCTGGCGCTGTCTGGCAGGGGCACCGCACCCGCACTCACCGTGATGGTGGGGAAGCTGGGATTCTTGCTGGCCTCCACCAGGACCCGGGCCGGGGCGGGCGGCAGGATGTAGGCGCCGGGGTCGTAGGGCTGGGGGTGGGTCAGCCCCGAGCCCGCGGTGCTCTCCGAGTAGTACTCCGAGTCCAGGGAGTCCGCAAAGGCGCCGGGCCAGGCCGGGGGCGGCCGCATGTAGAAGCCGTGATGGCTGATGGGTGGGGGGATGGGCTCTGGTGACGGCAGGCGGCTGCCATTATCCGCCGGGATGACCTGGGGGGAGGAGGGCGCAGGGTGAGATGGGAAGGCAACGGGATGTCCAGAGGGTACAGGGAACCGGGCTGGGGGCACTATCAGAGCCAGGGCTGGCCCTTTTCAATGGGCTCCAGGCCTGCAGAGGCAGCTTTAGGACAGGTGCCCCCGGTCCAGCTCAATCGAGCGTTAACTCTGAAACCTAATGGTGGTCATTTTAACCTCAGCACTGATCGTTCTCCAAGAAACATCTAGCTCCCATGGGCTTGTGGGTAGAGCCTGTGGGTGTGGGCGGAGCCAGTGTGAGGCACAGACCACTGTTTCCCCCTCCCCCCATCTGACCCTGGCACCCAGCAAGGGAGAGGCAGACTTGGGAATGAACCCAGGCATCCTGGTGGCCATGCCCCTCTTCAAGCACTAGTCTCCACTCCCTGCCAGGCCCCATTGCAGGGGGGTCCGGGGGCTCTCACCTCGGCCGGGGGCCCGATTACCGACAGCAGGACGGGCAGCAGCACCAGGCCGTTCAGGAGGCCCAAGACAGTCAGGACGGTGAGCACGGCAAAGAAATACCTGGCAGAGGAGACGGAGTGAGAGGAGCCCGGCCACGCGATGGGGACGGGGCATCCCAGCATGCTTTGTAAACAGGGCCCACCCCCTCAGCCCTGACAGGTAGAGTAGGAACATCGCAGAGGCAAATGGGCCAGGGGGGTGCACAGCACCCACGCAGTGGGGTCTTGCGCCCCCCACCCCATGACCCCATCCGGCTCTGCTGCCCTAGGGCGGCCTCTCTGCCCAGCCTCCCAACACCGCTGCCCTCATGCACCCCTGCACGCTTATGCACACCCACACACCCCTGCATGCTCACACCCACCCCTGCACGCTTATGCACACCCATACATCATCCACACCCTTGGGGAATCCCTGCACGTTCACACACACACACACACACACACACACACACACACACACACACACACACACACACC